AAGACATCACAGAGGAAATTGCTGCCGCTTTTGCCAGATTGCCCCAAAAAATCATTTGGAGACACACCGGACCTCGACCTGTGAATATTGGTGATAATACATTACTTGCTGACTGGTTACCTCAGAATGACCTGCTTGGACATCCTCAGACTAAAATGTTTATAACACACGGAGGCACTAATGGCATCCAAGAGGCCATCTATCATGGGGTGCCCATTTTGGGTCTACCTATAATATTTGATCAACCTGACAATCTTTCTAGAATGAAAGTTAGAGGCACAGCTAAACTTGTGGATATTGCAGAGTTGAACAGGACAATGTTTCTACAGGCACTGGAGGAAGTGCTGTATAACCCATCTTACAAGGAGAACATGCAGAGACTGTCCAAGCTGCACCACGACCAGCCAATGAAACCTCTTGATCGCGCTGTCTTCTGGATTGAGTTTGTCATGAGGAATAGAGGAGCTCCTCATTTACGAACACAGTCTTTCAGAATGTCCTGGATTGAGTACCACTCTATTGACGTTATTTTGTCTCTGCTGATTATAGTTGCTTTGTTTTGTTTCATGATTTACACTATAATAAAATATCTGTGCTTTAAAGTAGCATTTAAGAAGAAAATTAAAGCTGAGTGATTCAATATTTGGCCTAAATCTCAGGAATTAATGACATAACCTATGTTTCTATTTTCTTTTCTGAATGAGAAGATAATGTTTATTGTATATACATAGACAAACCTTTTTAAAATTAATATTATTTGTCTTTTCTGTTCTCTTGAGAATGTAGGCCTAAAATAAAAAAATCTGCCAAACCTCATCACAAATAATATGTTGTATGTTTGTTTAAGAGTGAAATAAACTGTACTTTGAGGTTTACATATTTTGTTGTTGTTATTGGTGCACTTGATTTACATTTTCTGGTGTAAAGTACACTGTTTATAGCACAGCAAATTCTCAAACTTAAATCTAAAACATCTAAGCATAATTTTTATAAACATAAAAATATATATAAAAGGCTTTTTAATACTTATCTTCGTGCCTAAGGCAGGAATTATGTAAAAAAAAAAAA